AATGTTTACCTGGTTACCAGAATATGTGTTGTATGAAGAACCTGGGGCTCCCTGAAATGAAAACACAGACTAGCTATTTGCTTGCAAATGGGATGGTGTAAAAACCAATGGATCTAAATATCAATCCAGGGCAGTACTCTTAAATAAGAAGGGGCTTCTTATCAGTAATTAGTTAGATGAAAGATCATTCCATAGAAGTAGGAAGCACAATTTAGTCTTTTTCTCTGACAGATTTTATGTTGTAAGGTACAGACAGCTGATAGAATTATTAGGTGCTGTGATAGACTTAACTCTTGGGTGTTATATTTCACAGCAACCACTGCATTGAAAATATCGGAAGGAAGATAAAAGCCTGTTATCTCTACAAAGAAGAATGAGCACCTACCTGTCCGTAAGATCCACCAGATCCATAGTAGGAAGGCCCTCCCTGCAGAGAAAACAGAAATTTACTGCTTTGTAGTTAAATGTTCTATCAAAGAATACTTTCAGATTGCTCCTATGCAGGCACAGTGACCAGAATATTTACCTGGTTACCAGAGTAAGAACTGTGGGAAGAACCTGGGCCACCCTGAAAGGAGAACACAGACCAGCTATTTTCCTGCAGATGACAGTTTAAACACCTGCACAGCTGGTTCTCACTAAACCCTTTCTCCCAGTTTATACTTAATTTTTATGTGCCTAAGTAAAACTCAAGACCATTGTTTTTAAAGTGGAAGAAATATTCAGGCAGCAATTTTCTTGGCCGGCTGAAATTTGAATTCTGCAAAGAAACTGCAGGGACCAGTCTGTACTGTTCTCTGTCAAGCTTCACGCCCCAGGTTACATCAGGGTTGATTTAATTTTTCTGCTCTAAGGGATAACAGTCAGGTCTGAAATTTAATATATCATAGCACCCACAATACTGGGAGTAAAGGAACCAGGAGGATGGGAGTCTGTATTGTCCTGGTGAGGGAGAAAGAGCTACTACCTGTCCATAGGATCCTCCAGGATAGTAGTAAGGCCCTCCCTGTGCAGAAGACAGAATGGGTTACTGGTTTATATCTGGCTACTCCTTCAGAGAAGGATTTAGGTGAAGTTCTGAAGAGAGGGCATTTTATCTGAATGTTTACCTGGTTACCAGAATATGTGTTGTATGAAGAACCTGGGGCTCCCTGAAATGAAAACACAGACTAGCTATTTGCTTGCAAACAGACATTTACATAAGTGAGTCTACTGTGAATTTCTATTCTTTCAAATAAAACTTTACAGCAGCCCCTAAAAGAGAATGTTGGTTTGTACTTTTTTGAGAGATAAGGAAACCTGTAGCAGGTTCTGTCATTTCCTGTTCAGGGTAAAAGTTTTCAAAGTACTACTAACATTTAGTTTTACTTTTCTAGTCTCAGAATCCTATGTCATACCTTGCAGGCTCCACATTTTTATAGATGATCATTACCTTGATGGCCTTTTTAAAAACTGCCAGACTTTTAAAGTGTAAAGAGTATTTAGGACAGCATGTTTTTCAGCTCATCACTTAAAGGGGAAGACTATTTACCAGTTCCTGACATTCACTATAACTGCCATTTCCCCCTGCTATAAAAACAGGGGAAGCATTATTCTATGGTTAGACTGCTTCCTCTGAGACTATTTGTAGACTAAGGTCTTGTTTTTAAATGAAGCTTGGAGAAAAAGCAGAATAATTGCAGTGTGAGGAATCTGGGGATCTTTTTCCTTTGAAATGTATCCTGGGATACATTTTTCCTTTGAAACAAGATGGTTTAAATATGTGTAGCTCTGACTCTTAATTTATAATATTCTCCAGGTTTGAAGAGACTTTTGTGTAACTCACAGCTTTTAAATCCAGAAGAAAGATTTTTGCAATGATTTTTCTCTTCTACTGAAGAATCTTCAAGGAATCAGAATAAACTGAGTTGGAAGGGACCCAAGAGGATTATCAGGTTAAACTGCTGGTCCTGCACAGGACCAGCCCCAAGAGTGACACCATGCACCTGAGAGCATTGTCCAAATGCTTCTTGAACTCTGTCAGGCTTGGTGCTGGGAGCACTGCCCTAGGAAGTAGATCACTCTCTCTTTTCTGTAAGATTTATGAGTGGTAGTTTATGTGTACATATATATCTACCCAGAGCTTGCTTTTTTACTATTATTAGAATGGAACCTGTCCTAGCCAATCTGTTTTCATGCTACTGTGAGAATTGTAGCTGCCACGTGTGGAGGGCCCTGGACAGAAAATGAAGATAAGACCATGAAAGCAAAGATCAAATCTACTGCTACATAATTTATCAAAAATTAATTTGATCAGGTGATACGATGGCAAATTGGAAAATAAGTCTCTTGCGTGTCAAAGTTGACACAACTGCATTGAGAACTGGTTTTCTAATCTGTCCTATTCTGACATATTATTTTCTTAATGTTGAAAATTTCCTTTAGTTGATAGCAACTAAATACACTCTCCTCAACCAAGCTGTGCTAGATTTCTGTTAAAAACTTTTTTTTTGGCAACAATTAAAGCATGCAAAGAAAAATGTTAATTAGAATGAAAAAAACTTGCATAAAGGTCTCCACCTTCCTTATAAATTGATTTTTGTACAATCACGCAACAAATAAAAAGATTTTTTCCTCAACAAAGTTTCATTATTATTTATTTTAATGGACCAGTTTATATTTTAAGGCATGTAAACCATGATTACTGCTTAGCCTCAATTAGATGAAAGAGGTGGTATTGCATCTGACCAAAATTGCTGTTGCTATATTTTAAGTTAATAAGTTCAGAAAGCAGTAATTTCTTTATACAATTTGTTTGTTTAAATAGTGTGGGATTTTTTTACAGAAAGAATAATTAACAAAATGCTTCTTGTTGAAATTGAAAACTCTACAACATTCAAATGGGTTTATGTAAATACAGCTTCAATAAAAGATTCAGGAATACATATCCTGATAGAAGACACATTACTTTAAAATCCAAGGTGACTTTAAAAGCCAGGAGCCTGGTAGAGCTAGTCTATAATGTCCACATAAACACATTCCTTGGCCTTTTTCCTGGACCAGAGGCATTGCCTAAGAGAAAAGTTTATCCAGTGCAGCTGACATTGAAATTTCAATTATTCTCTTTATAGGAAGGAACAGTTTAAATGTTGATTTAAGAGATTATATCTTGAAATACGTATCAAATTTTGATATTTTTATTCACAGTATTTTATTGCACCAGTGAGAAAGACAAGGAAACTAAGCTGGATGCAACTAAGTACTGTGGTTACTGCAAAGTATATTGACTGGTTTTTGAGCACAATGAATAATTGGCACATAATAGTTAAGTGACAGAGCATGTGGATCACCAAGAACAGTTACAGAAAATTAGTGGTCAAATGGTAATTATGAAGTTAAGTGGAACTTATTCTTTCATTTAATTGTATATAGTTCTACCCACATTAAGGAAATCACCATTAATATTTAGTGTTAACCAACTGGCCATATTTACAAGTGATTGATTCAAAGTACTCCATTATATAGAAGGAAGTATAAACTCAGAAATATAGTTACCGGTCTATGACCACTGCTTCCATCAGGACAAATGCAACCACCCTACAAATTAAAAAAAAAAAAGGAAATAGTTATTGCTTTGTGGAAATTTAAAATAAAATCTTATTTCAGATGCAAAACTGTTTAGGGGAAGAAAGTCTGTGAGACTACAAAGGTATGACCTTTGCTGTACCTAGAACAAATGAGGGGACAGCACAGGTGTGTACTGTTAACATTTGCTTTGGAAGTCAGACTGATATTGCATCTCCCAGTGGGATGTCCCAATGACAGATGCCTCAGCAAGAGAGAAGTATAAGGTAGTCAGGAGAATCCCATTATGCTATCACTAGTAAAACACGTTATGTTGAAACAGTTCTAAAAAGTGATTTCAGAGAGCCATTTCTGATAAATTTAATATGAATAGGGCCACTTCATTTACAAATCAAAGCATATCATCACCAATCTTCCATGTAAAACTACTTAAATTCTGATTTCTGAATTTAATTAGTTTAATTAATAGGAAGCTATCTGAACAAGACCAGTTAAAAATAAGGAAAATCCTGACCTGATTACTTGATCCACTGGTTGCAATAAATGATCCGCCCTGTGAAAAAAACAATTATATTTTATTAAAGCATTTTATTAGAATCTAAAGTACAAAACTATGTAGTGAGAAACATTATTACAAACTCTATTACTTCCTGCACCAATTAACATAATCTGTTGAATTTTTGTGAAAATATAAATTAGGATGAAACCTAATTAAGCGACTTGATACAATTCTCAGGGAATGGGCATTAGGGAAACTAATTAAGAAAACTCTTACCTTCCAGAGCTCAGAGATTGTTTGCAATGCTGACTTAAACTCCAAACTCTCTGAGACAGAGGACTGTGCTACTGTTAAATCTACGTAATGCTGATGTAGCAGGATTTCAGACCCCTAGGATGGGTACCAATCCAAGATATTAAGAAAAACAGAACAAGGTGCCACTCTGGATCAGTTAAATTTCACATAATTCTCTAATATAAGCACTGCTGCAGCATATATTCTGTATATCCTACAGAACATGAAAGTTGGACCTACTTTTGTAACAGAAGTACGCAATCCCTAAAATGTACCTTCTTACCAAATACAAAATGAAACAATTATATGTATGACCATTGCAATGAAGAATGCAAGGATGTTTCTAAAATAAGAATCTGAAAATAAGTAGTTTGTGCTTTTCAGATTAAATTTACAAAATGCTAGGTAAAGAAACACCTGCAATTCTTACCTGGTTAGTGAGGTGAATGAAAAGAAGAAACTGTATTTTCTGGGCCTAATATCACTATTTACAACTGCGCAAAATTACAACATTAGAGGGAAATGCTGTCAAATCAAAATAGCATCCTTCAGCACAAAAACAATCACTGGAACCTAACTTTCAAAATGATCTATAGTTTATCAGAAATCCCATTGATATTATGCAGTTGACAGTACATTATTACCTGCATGTCAGAGTGGCTGCTATTTGAAGGAGAAGAGGCATTCTGTGAAGAAAAAAAAGACTCATATCTGTAAGTGTAATAAAATAAAATACATAGTTCTATTTGGGAAGAAACACCTAACCCTAAAGAGAATTAGTTGTTTTTTGTGGACATTAGATCTTTCTTTTTTTTTGTAGGTAATACACAAGGAGCTACAAACTTACTACTACCAGCAGTTGTTCAGAAAAAGGGACAGGAATGGTTTACCTGTACATCATAGGCCCTTCTGCTTAGAACATGTGATGTGTCCTGTAAAAAAATAATAACATTTACAATGAGGAGATGAAAATTCTGTGATCAATGATTAGTCTTTTTTTCTTTCCATATTATTTGTTTATAAGAGCACTAGAACCATTATTGTGTACATTGAGTAGGAATGCATTCTTATAAAATAAAAGGCTATTTGCTTATAATTTTTATAAGGCTACTACTGAGTCTGACTTGCAACTATACAGTACAGATATTTGTATCTCCTATAATGAGCATAATAATATAGGAATATTATTGTTCCTTACTTATTATTCTATCTTTCTTCAGCTAAAATGTTAGCTGTCCTTTGTTTGTATGATACTCATTTAATTTTAACTTTAGCTTGGACCAAATCTGTATGTACTTAATGAAGAACAGGAATTTGAGCTAGCCTATACTTCAAAGCATGATTTTCATGTCTTTTTTTTTTTTGTCATGTATATAGTTTCTTTAAAGAGATTCATCCAAAGAAAAAAATACCCAAGTAATTTTATTTTCCTTTTCCCTTATGCAGGAGGATATTGACTACTATAAACATGATTAGGGAAAAGTTAGGTATAATTAAGACAGATAAGGTATAGTTAGGTCTAAAATCCTACAAGCAGGCAAAAAGTAAAAGAAGAAAAGTGTTACTTACTCGGGCAACAACAACTTTCTTCTTTGCACAACCAGAACGCTGCAAAGGAGCCACAAGACTGTTAGTCCTTTATAGCTGTAGTTGTCTACACTAAATACTTTAACTAAAATCTACTACTTTTTAGGGTGATATTTGGAAAAGGAAGATATCCAGAGATTGTGTTTTATTAGCAGTAAGATTCCTAAAAAGCATATTCTTTGTCTGTTTTCAGCTTATCTCTTTCAACAGAGGGAGACTCCCCTAAGTTCCTGCTTAGGGGAGTCTCCCTCATCCCTCAGCTGAACCACTCTAGTTTAGTTTACAATCTGTATAAGGCTCCTTTCTCTCTCTCTTTTTTCTTACTTTTTAGCATTCCCCATCCTTCTTTGTGAGAGACTTTAGATGCCAACTATTTTACAAAGCAGTCCAGCCATACAGACTGGATAGAGATAACCAAGGGAATACTAACATATTTCATGTACTAAGGAGGAAGTGAGGAGGCTCCTAAACAGGGCTTGCTGATGAAGGATTTTTTTTCAGAACATTTTTAATAGAACCTAATGCAATGAATTCCAGAGGAAAAACAGGGAAAACAATGAAGTAGAATAGTGAATGGCTGAGAACTGAAGAGGCAAGTAGCTGATAAGAGAAGGTTACTCTAGATGGCAGTAAAACAAAAAGAGGCTGTGACGGATGGAAACAGCTTTTCTGTGAACAGAAACGAGTAGAGAAAATGTAATTTATTTACACATAAATTATTTACACAACAGTGTATTTGCTGGGTCACAATCTATTCATGGTAATCACTGTTTCTGCTTGTAGGACAGAGGGAAAGTCTTGACAGAGAGAGTAATACTGGGTAATACCAGGCACAAATGTTACTTTACGACAGCATCATGTAAGTGACATTAAATCTGAATGAGTGAGGAAAGCTTGACATGGTTACATGCCTCATGTACACAGGTGATTAATTCCCAAATTATCCAGTCAAAGTGGACATATTATGAAGAAAATATATTAGTACATATTTTTAGAAGTATTGTGTCATTTGAAGTAATTGTGCAGCAGCCTTGAGTACAGAGAAATTAACTTTTTGAAGGGTAGTATAAAGCAATCATATACTAAAGGTGCACAGGTCTAATATAGAAGTGTTGTCATTAATCATTAGGATTTGAACACTACAGAACAAACAAAGTACTTACCTGACCATTGGCACTGTAGGTAGTGTCATTCTGGAAAAGAATACATTATTTCCTTTTTTAAAGAATTATTTAAATAAAGCAAGCTTAAAGAAAATTAATTGTTTCTGATATCACATACAGACATAACAAAATCACTTTTGCTCCCATTCTCCACAGCTTTGTCTAAATTAGTTTGAAATTCTACCATTGCAGTCTGAAAAACATTATAATAACAACCTTAGTACAGTACAAATGTAACATGAAAAGCAGTGGAATATCTGTCCCTTCTTCTTGCATTCATTGTATGTACTTAAAGATTTTCTTGCAGTTTTTTTTTTTCAATTAATGTAAAATGTACCCTTAGATTTTGAGGAAAATATCTGTTACTGCAAAGCCATTGAATTTTGTTTTTCATATTTCATTTCATCCAGTTAAATGCATTTAAAAGCATGAACTGTATCTGTAAACATATATACAACAATTTTCAGCAAGAGAAAAGCCAGTTGCTAAAATAGCTGTTAGTGTGGAAACTCAGCATTCTTTCTGGATAATTCTGCTCCAAAGACTGCATCTAGCAGAGCAATATTTTCTCATCTACATTAAAAATGTTGTGATGAAAATATATTAGAGAAAGGGTACTCACATCATCACAGGCATTGGGATTACTATCATATGAGGAATCTTGTGACTCCTAGAAGAACATCAGAAACCAGTTACTTCCTCACAAAAATTAATTTCTACAAATACACTTTCATGTTTACTCTACACAACAGAAGAGATGTTCATGCAAGGAAGAAGCAGAGTTAAATTAAATTAGGATCTTTATACGAAAAAAAGGAGCCAAATCCATAGCTGCAATAGTGGCTGACAGAAAATATTCCAATCCTCAGTAAAGAAAAAAACCCAATAAAATAAATCCAAATCACAGAGAGCACTGAAACAATTATGTTTTATTAGATCTTTTAGTTGATGTAGGGACAATAATATTATGTAACTAGGAGAAAGAACTACTTACTTGATTATCATAATAGGTGTCTGAGGATGATCCACCCTTTAAAACAAACAAAAAACTCAATCAAAATTGGAGAAAGCTACAATATAGAAAGCCTGATTTTGAGCAGAGTCTAAAGTTTATATTAAGTGATGTATAAGTAGTGAAATAGAGTATTACTTACTTGGCCACCACCATAGTTTTGTGAGTAGGATCCATCCTATAAAACAAACAAATATAAATTACTATAAAACAAACAAATATAAATTCTCTACTTCAGAAGAAACTGTGATTTGGTTCAGAGGCTGTAAAGCTGGAATAAACAATTGCCTAGAATTCCTTTGAACAAATACAATTTTCAAGGTATTTGGATAAATTATCAAACATTATAAAAATTCTTACCAGGAGAAAATCAAGGTCTGCCTACCTGGTTGTCACCATAATTTTGGGAGGATGATGATCCACTCTGCTAAAAAAAACCCAACAAAATAATTAGAATTTACATCATTTACATCACCATATTGCCAATCAGATATTGATCAGTCATTATAGAAGTTAAAACCATCATAAAACCTTGGTGGGAGGCAATACTTACTTGGCTACCACCATAGTTTTGTGAGGAGTATGAATCACCCTGTGAAAACCAAACAGCAGCAGTCATGATGCTGGAGAGCTGAATACAGCTGTCCTATGTTGCTGAGTTCTATGGAAATGCTATGTAACTTCCAATTTTATGTAAGTGGAATTTCAGGGCTGATAAGAAGTATGTTTGCAGAGAATGAGTTACAGACTGGACATGGAGAGACTCTGCAAGAGTCTGTATCCCCACATGTAAGAAAACTGTACTGTGGATTAGAATTGCTTTAAATGTTTTTACCAATGGAAAGTAAAGATCTACCTACCTGACCACCCTGTGCTCCACCCTGTGATCCACCCTGTAAAGCAGACAAAAAGGCTTTAGACACTCACTGTTTGACCATGGAATATTTTTGATGAAAGCTATGATACTTGCTTAGGAAGAGTAAGAAGCAGAGGGAGATATGCAATATGGATATAATTTCTATTGTAATGAGCACAGATTGCCAGTAATGCAATGGTAAATACTAGATGAGACATAAATCAAGAAACCCCAAACATTTAACTTTAAGTAATGTCTAGTGCACCGATGAGCTCCATTCAGAACACTTTCTACAGAATATATCTTTTTTTTTCTCCTATAGAAAACCTAATTTATACAAATGGAATGAAGTTATACAAATTCCCCCGTTAGTGTTATTATACAGGAAGCTGTGACTTGTGAGATACAGTGGCCTTGAGGAAAAGGTTTTCAATAAAACACTCAGTATGTTTCAATGTGCCCTCTTTAGAAGAGGAATGTAACTCCTTCCAGTGAAATCAAGAGAGACATTTGTAGAAGTATTAGTGTCAAAAGTGCATAATAAGAACAGTGAAATACTGAATTATTTAAGCAACTGGGATATTTGCTATTCACTAAAATGAGACCGAGGCTTCATTCAGAACAGTCAGAGAAAAATGAAATTAAAAGTATCAGCTTTCAATATACTAGAAGATTTCAGAACAAAATATAACCATTTTCTTAAGTCTTAAAAAGAAATAGGTCCTCTTAAAAAAAAACTATTATAAAATATATACCTATTAAATATATAATTCTATCAAGTTATAATAATATATTACGTACAATGCATTGCATATACTGTACCACATAATAATACATTGTATCAACATCTATGTTGTTTGCATAGTTATAAAAATAGTATATATTTATATATATATTGCTAAAACACAGTATTTGTTGAAGCAATCTATCCAATTTTTCTGTTTCTTGTGACAACTCAGTAAGAATCAAAAGAAATATTGTGAATAAAAAGGAAATAATCTGTTGCCATTTTCTGCCTAATTTTTAGCATCACAAGGATGACTTCTTTAAACATAGGTGACATCTTTTAGGCTAGTGGTTTGTAGAGCTCCAACACGTGAACTTGCAACATATACACATGTAGATACACAGGTTCACTGCACAATCTTTTTTTCAGGGACTTCAGGTGAAGTCCTAAAATATTTTCTGGCTTTTGATAGGAAAAGAGAGGCTGGTGAGCTCCAGCCCTGACTTAAGTCATGCCAGTTAAGTAACTCTGAAGCAGACTTCTTCTTTCCAGAATCTGGCCTTAATGTCCTATTTAATTAGACATTTCAAAATATAATGCTAGGGAAAAGGGGCAAAAAAGGCTCCAAAGTCCCTGTGATACTCCTGTGTATAGGAAGACAGTGAGTTCTAATCTCAAAATTTGTAAGATTACTTGGATTTGTGCAATATGAATCTGAATTTGGGACTAATTGAGTTAGTGGCAAAACTAATTACAGATGCATCTTAAAATAAGAGAAAAAACCCATTTACCTGGTGGCAGGGATTGCTATCATAGGAGACACCCTGTTAAAAACCAACCAGACAAAAAAGTAAATGCCATTTTTCTTGCAAAGTAATTAATTTCCTTAAAATTTCCTATGTGAGAATTAGTGTAACAAAATTCAATGTATAACTTTACAGAGAGTGAGTTTAGTTTTACTTAACCTTTTAAGTGTGTGGCTTTACCCTATGTCACTCTCATACCCCCATACAAGCATCAAGACACTTCCAAACAGATGAGCAAAGGAATACTTGTGAGCCACATGGAAAGCAGTAGGGTGGTAATTGATGTCTCTCTGTATCATCCCTTGATTGGGATGATCCCTTGATCTCCTCTTGATTGGTAAAGAAGAACTGGGTGGGGATTTTTTGGAAGTAACTGTTACTGTTAGGTGACCATCTATCTAAATGTGGCCATCAATCTCTTGCTAGATTCACCACCATGGATTTTAGGCAAGGTTTCTGCTCAGAGCCATTCTTTTGACTGTTTTGAGTATATTTTGTGATAAGAGGATGAGGAACAGTACACAGAAAGGGTTCTACCCTGGTTGTCACCCTCCCATTATTACAGTACAGGTCTTCTCTTGATAAGTCAACCTGTGACACAGCTTAGTGGAAATAACATATTCTGCAGTGTTTATCACTTCCATTGCTGGTTTATCACTTCCATTGTTGTACTGCTCCTTATGATGCTTTCAGAGGTATTTCCATTCTTGCCTAAATTACATTAGTCCCAATATTTCTGCTAAATACTGCTTAAAATGTCTGTATCTATGATTATCTTTCATTCTGGTTGCTTTGCTCAATATATTTATTTAAATGTAGATTTACTAGTGGCCTCATCCATGATTCTTTCCCCTGGGATCTCATCACTGAATACATTGTTTTTACACCATTTTAGACATAGACAAGTTGAAATGGAACCAGGATGAAAACTACTAATGTAATTATTGTTCCATTTGAGCCACTGTCTATTCCTGTTCTTTTCTATAGAAAATAAATGGAGCAACATCCAAAAATTCCCAAGCAAAGACTTTATATATTTAATGAGTAGACAGATTAATCACTTGTTTGTTCTCCCTGTGTAACTCTGAATGGAAGCAGCCACTTAATATTGGTTACAATGCCCAACAACATCAGCCTTTCTTGACCTCTGTGATAGATGAATTCATGCAACAATGAAAACAATAGATTTCAAACTACAAAAATTATAAAAAATATTAAAAACATGTTAGTATTGCAAAGAAAGCTGGGTCTAGTTTTCAAATAGTTTGGAGAAAAAGTCTTACTTGTCCACAACCACTGCTGCCAAAATAAGCTGCAGATCCACCCTGCTGGGGAAAAGAAAAAGAGCAGCTCATGATCCAAATATTCTCATTCTCTCTTCTCATTTCAAACACAGATATACATTTTCAAGGGCTATAGCTGCCAGGCTGCTTCAAAGGTAGAAGACCAGCTGTATCCAGCTGTGAATTATTTGGTAAAATACTAAGTATGATGAATAACAAAGTACATCAGAAAGCTGAGAGCTGAATACACTCCTTTCTACAGGGAAAGGTGCAGCTTCAGTGAGCCAATTGTTGCCAAAGCCATGTCAAAAAAAGTTCACAGGACTTAATTCTAAAGAGATACTTATTATATTGTTTCAAGTTAGAAACCACTGGATTCTCAATACATATATGGGAACATCACATAGATGCTGAATAATGACTAATGACTGACTGATGCATACCTGTCCATAGGAGCTGCCACCTTGAGGCTGATAACCCTGTAAGAAAGGCACAGAGTCAGTTGTAAAAAGTGCTGTGTAAGAATAGTCCCAGCACAGCAGAAGCAGAATCACAGAATACCAGAGAGAAAAGCCCATTTCCATTAAAGGTTCCTCTCTACTATGTTACTTTTCCCCTCATGGTATTTCAGTGGCACAAATCAAATTCAAGAACCACTCAGAAACACTGAGAAGGAAAAAACCACCCATGTCCCAAAGCCCACTTACAGGACAGGTGCCTACAGAAAAGCTCAACATATTTCAGCAACAGTCTCACCTGACCATAGGACTGGCTGCCTTGGGAACCCTTTAAATAAAGAGAAGATAATTACCACCTTGGCAAAGAGGCTTCTTTCTACAGCATGATATCTATGGAAATAACAGCTGCATGTGGGATTCCCTAAAAAGGCTCTTCCTGTGCCAGAGGACACAGAGCAGTGCGCTAACAGCTGTGCATCTGTGCAGCAGATTGTCTTATTCTCTGCAGAAGCCATGGCCCAAATTGAGGCACAGACTGCCAAGGGAAACATCACTCTCAAAAGTCTTCCAGTCATGCCAGTCACAGAGAGATCAGTGAAGAACTTTCTACAAAGCAGCCACTTTGCTTACCTGGCCATAGGAGCTGCTGCTGCCTGAGAAACCTGCTCCACCCTAAGACAAGGACAGCATTTGGTTACTTCCCTCTCAGTAAGGGCTCCAGCCTGCATTAGCAACAGCAAGCAGCTACATCCTAAAGCCATGCAGGGCTGAGTGCAGAGCCAGGCATCTCCTGGCCCTCCTGAGGATGCTGAGTGATGATTTCACGCACTGGGATTCCAGATCAATGAGTAGCACTTGCATAGATGTTGAGTGTGAATTG